TCTCTCTCTCTCTCTCTCTCTCTCTCTCTCTCTCTCTCTCTCTCTCTCTTCAGAAAATAACAACGACAGCAAAGTTGAACAAACAGAAAACAGTATGCGAACATTGCAAAGCCATTTGATGCGGGGAAAAAAAAAAAAGAGATTGATACTTTGGTTGAGTTGAGAGAACAGAGCAGTGATGGGGAGCTATGGAGTGGGATGACAGCACAAAAAACTGAAGTGGATTTAAAGACGGAAATCGTGACTGCGCCCTAGGTACCCCAATAAAATTAGTTCCTGATCTCCCCAACTTCCCCATGAAGTTCGAGATGCAACAAATCCTATCTGTAAATTCTACACAAAGAATAGACAATCTATCGGGGACACGATAACAATGGGGGGAAGCAGAAAGGGGATGTAATGAGCCCACTCCATAGCGGGGTGGTGGGAAGGGGGGGGGGGGGGGGGCGGCGCGGCGCGGGAGGGGAGATTTTAATGCCAGAATTGAGATGGGGAATTGGCAGTGAACAGCAACAAGGTATGCTCAGATGGTAGAGATCGCTCTACTTGCTTTCTTCCTGTTTTTTATTGAAATTATAGAAGTCATCATAGAAAGTATTATGGAATAAAAATAAATAATATTATAAATAATAAAATTATAATTAACAAATATTAAATTTAGAATGTGCCAATATGGCAATATGCTAATATAGTAACATACCTGATCATTTCCAGTGTTTGAATGCTAAGGAACGTTTTTCTGCAGTACTCTCGAGCTGCTTTTGATCCTCCCTGGGCATGCCAATAATGAAGTAAAAAAATTGGAAAAAAAACATGAGAAAATGGGGGATGAAGATCACAAGGAATGTGAATGAGCTCCAAATTGCACAGGCACTGGAATCCCAAAAGTATTGCCTATAAAAAAAAAGAAAAAAAAAGAAAGCGCTGCCTCAACTCGTGTGCATGCAACATATGCTAGTAAGTTGTAAGTTGTAACCCTTGCAATTGGCATGTCCTGAAAACACAAGCCACACTATAGAGGATAAAACGTAAAAAAAAAAAATAATAATAATAATAGGAAAAACAACTAGGCTACCAAAGTGGCCCTGGACCCGTTGCCCGGCCGGTCCAAAAAAAATAAAAAAATAAAGGGAAGGGTCTTCGATATCGGATATGTCCGAAACAACCTCGATTGGTAAAGAATTCCGATGTGACCCTGTTGCAAAAGTTAATCAGTTGATTTTTCTGCATAACATAGTTTTTTTTATTGGATTTATTGGATTTTTTTTTGTTTTTTTTTTTTTGGGCTGGGACCTTCCTGGGCACGGCTGGGCCGCCCGGGAAAACAAGGGGACCCGGGCGGCCCGGCTCATAGCCTAGATAAACAAGGAAAATTATAACTCTGATGAAGTCCTTTGAAGGGCGCCGCACAGAAGAAACTGGATCGCTTTGAAATAGAAAACAAGACCTTTGCTAAAGGGTGGTTGCTCGGAGGAAAAACCGGCGACATACGTCACAACACCACCTTATTCGGAACCGACGGCAGCGCATACGAGGGAGGAAGACGACAGAACAACTGTCAGAGGGCTACTTCCAACATGACAGCCACACACAGAACAGCAATCTTCAGATGATCCTGGGGAACAGCGGGGAACTGAAGTCACCCCTATCCAACCTGGACCCCCTCCATGGTTCTTGATTTCCACTTCCAAGTCAATCTGGCAATCCCAGCAAGGTGGCGACTTAGAAGAATCTACGAAGGCATGACCATCTGATGGTCAACCCTCCTTGATGAGAAGGAATCCATGCTGTTCAGGCCCTTCAGGGGTCCTTCAGCCTTGAAGGAAGAGAGCGTGGGCGTGGGCGCATCATCGTATGCATTTCCGACGAGCTGCCGGTAAGAAAGGAACAGGAATGATGTTTCCCAGAATGGATACGGAATATTATTGGAGGCAGGAACATTAGGTGTTTTGATGGGAAAAAGACAAAGAAAAAGGAAGAGAGAAAAAAGGAAGGAAAAAGCTTCAAAAAAGAGAACACCAATGCAATCAATCAGACATTGCAACTGCCAACCTTCTTTGTCTTTCTAACCAAAAAGGCGACATGAATTGACACTGTTGCAGTTGCACTTGCACTTGAATGATTTACGAGGAGAATTCACTCTTCAGTAAAACAATCACACAGATTTATTTATTTAATATTTATTAACTTAACTTATTTTTATTTTTTAACACCAGCTGCTTTTAAATTTCAACACTCGATAATGGACAGTGACTTTTAGATCAACAGTTAGTTGCAAAGCATCTTGGGCAAGAGAAACGGAACGTGACAGTGACTGTCTGTGCGGGGGAGGAGGAGGGGAGGATGGTGAGCACTGTGGTCGCTGCACCGTAGCCAGGAGCCTGCAAATATGGAGCATGGTACGGAGGGCCGGAGTAGTAGGGAGAGGAAAGGGGGGGGGGAGAGGAGAGGGAGGAACATTCAATTGAGGTGCCTGTAGCGGCGAGCACTGTGGTTGCTGCACCATAGCCAGGAGCCAGCAAATCTGGAGCATGGTAGGGAGGAAGGGAGGAAAGGAGTAGTAGGAATAGGGAGAAGTGGAGAACAGGAGATATGGGGTTGTAAGATGAAGGCTTCTGACATGGATTGCCATTGCACTGCCGAGTGACTTTAGCGAAGCGTAGGCACTTGTGCGATTCTGTCCGGCAACGAACTATGTAATAAGTTCCGCGGCGCTTTTCCCATTTTTTGAAGTGGAAAAACAGCAGTCATTCAAAAAAAAAAAGAAAAAAAAAGTAGCCATACTAGCACATTGAGAAGTTAGGATGCTTCCAAGGAGAAAATACCGACGACTTCGTAATTGCTTGTTGACAGTTGTTGTCTGTTTGAGGTAGTACTGCTCCTGAATGTGCGGGTGAACGTTGCTCTGGACGTATGGGGCATGCGAATGAGATTGCAACTTGCAAATTGATCAGAGTTTTGCAGCATGCATAGGTCCTGGAGACCATCTCATGCAAGTGTGTACATGCCATGCATCGTTCTCCCACACACATCGAACAGTAGTCTGATAATAGACAAAGGTAGAGAAGATGAGAACCGAGTTTCACAGCTTATATTATCAAAAATATGAATACAAAGTGTTTCAAAGTTTCCCTGAGTCCAG